AGCCATCCCTTGGTGGGTCAGGGGAGGAAATAGCACAGGGCAAAGTGGAACAGCAGTAAATTAAAATAATTAAATAATTTTAAATTTAATAAATTATTTCATTTATAAATAATCTGTAATGGGCAGAGCCATCCCTTGGTGGGGCAGGGGAGGAACTGGCACGGGGCAAAGTGGCACAGCAGTAAATTCAAATAATTAATTTAAAATTTAATAGATTATTTCATTTATAAATAATCTGTAATGGGCAGAGCCATCCCTTGGTGGGGCAGGGGAGGAACTGGCACGGGGCAAAGTGGCACAGCAGTAAATTCAAATAATTAATTTAAAATTTAATAGATTATTTCATTTATAAATTAATCTGTAATGGGCAGAGCCATCCCTTGGTGGGTCAGGGGAGGAACTGGCACAGGGCAAAGTGGCACAGCAGTAAATTCAAATAATTAAATAATTTAAAATTTAATAAATAATTTCATTTATAAATAATCTGTAATGGGCAGAGCCATCCCTTGGTGGGTCAGGGGAGGACCTGGCACAGGGCAAAGTGGCACAGCAGTAAATTCAAATAATTAATTTAAAATTTAATAGATTATTTCATTTATAAATTAATCTGTAATGGGCAGAGCCATCCCTTGGTGGGTCAGGGGAGGACCTGGCACAGGGCAAAGTGGCACAGCAGTAAATTCAAATAATTAATTTAAAATTTAATAGATTATTTCATTTATAAATTAATCTGCAAGCGGCAGAGCCATCCCTTGGTGGGTCAGGGGAGGAAATGGCACGGGGCAAAGTGGCACAGCAGTAAATTCAAATAATTCATTTAAAATGTAATAAATTATTTAATTTATAAATATTCAAATAATTAATTTAAAATGTAATAGATGATTTCATTGATAAATTAACCTGTAAGCGGCAGCTTTCGTGAGCACAGGATTTATCCCATCATTGCAGGGTCCAGGAAAGGCTGGGCCGCAGTGCCAGCAGCACGTGCAGGGCTGCAAGGAGCCAGTCCCCAGCCCTGCAGGAAAACATTGCTTTTCCTAACACAAGCAGCGCTCTTCACGTTCCACAGTGGAGAATTCAGGGATTTGGGGACTGGCCAGGCCAAATCCCAGCCTGGAAAAACTGGGAAGGACAGCACAGGGACACCCCAAATGTCCCTGCAGCTCCACTTCAGAACAGCCAGGGGACTTTTCAGGCACAGGGGAAATGAGGGAGCCACAGCTCTGCCATGGCTGGTGCTGCCTGGCTGCAGCAATGAAAAGGATGGAGCTGGGCTGGAGCTGGGGATGGATTTGGGGATTTTGGGTCTTCCCGCAGAGCGGGAAAAGGATGGAGCTGGGGATGGATTTGGGGATTTTGGGTCTTCCCCCAGAGCGGGAAAAGGATGGAGCTGGGGATGGATTTGGGGACGGATTTGGGGATTTTGGGTCTTCCCCCAGAGCAAGAAATGATGGAGCTGGGGTGGATTTGGGGATGGATTTGGGGATTTTGGGTCTTCCCGCAGAGCAAGAAAGGATGGAACTGGGGATGGATTTGGGGATTTTGGGTCTTCCCCCAGAGCAAGAAATGATGGAGCTGGGGTGGATTTGGGGATGGATTTGGGGATTTTGGTTCTTCCCCCAGAGCAAGAAAGAGCTGGGGATGGATTTGGGGATTTTAGTTCTTCCCCCAGAGCAGGAAAAGGATGGAGCTGGGGATAGATTTGGGGATTTTGGTTCTTCCCCCAGAGCAGGAAAAGGATGGAGCTGGGCTGGAGCTGGGGATGGATTTGGGGATTTTGGTTCTTCCCCCAGAACAGGAAAGGGATGGAGTGGGCCAGGGGACTTGGGATGGATTTGGGGATTTTTTCCTTCCCCCAGAGGGCTCTGGGGTGCTCACCAGGGGATGGTCCCAGCCCCAGGAGCTCCAGGAGGGTTTGGACAACGCTCCCAGGGATGCACAGGGTGGGATTTTGGGCTGGGCAATCCCTCCCAGCTCAGGATACTCCACAACTCTACAAAAAGTTTGTATTTGAGATGATGAAAGCAAAGCCCATATTTACTATTAACACTCATTAAAACAGCCAAAATTCAGCTGAATTTTCTTCTGAATTTCCCAAATATTTCAGGCTCAGAGAGGCACAAACACAAATGGAAAAAGACAAAAAAATAAATGCAAACAAAGCTCAGGAATCCCAAATCAGTCACTCTGAGCTGTCTCAAGGCAATGGTTTGTCACCCAAATGCTGCTTATATATAAATTATTACATTATATTTATATAAATATATATTGTATATATAAATATATAAATTATTACAAGATATATTATAATATATATGCAATATATATTACATTATATTTATATAAATATATATATTTTTATATATAAATATATAAATTATTACAAGATATATATAATAATATATATACAATATATATTACATTATATTTATATAAAAATATATATTTTTATATAAATATATAAATTATTACAAGATATATATTATTATATATATACAATATATATTACATTATATTTATATAAATATAAATATATATTTATATATAAATACATAAATTATTACAATAATTTAAATGATTAAATAACAGAGCCAGAATTTCCAGGTCTTGATCCTTGCAGCCCTTCCTCTTCCATCATCTCCATCTCCAGGAATAACAGACAAGTTTCACCCCAATTTCCAGACTAAGAAAATCCTCTCTGGGGTTTGTTGGGTTTGTCTGTCTCCCGGTCACAGACCAAAACAGCCCGGTGTGTTCAGGACGCCTCAGCACAGTTTACATTTCCTAACTGCAGATTTCTGTGGCGCTGGGAATGGTGCAGCTGCTGCCTGAACAATCCCAACCTCCTTCAGAGAAATCAAACCACAAACACAACTTGAATTTCCACCACAACGTGTCCCTGTCACCCGGGGAGGTGAAGGAGGGAAATATTGGTATTATTTACCAATAATCCCGTTTATTTTGAAAACAAACATTTTGTACTGCTGTTTTCCCCCCCCACCAAAGAAATGTTTGCCCAAGTGAGAAAAACAAGAAGTCGATCCACGAACACTCCTATGGTCACAAGCCAACACTAACAGCTCACCACATCAGAAATCCGTGTCAACAAACAATATCCACATTCCAGCAGGGAGAAAAACACAAGCAGCATGAAAGGTTCGGGTCTCAGGGATAAAAAAGAGGCTGCACAACACAGCCAAGGATGCTTGGGGTGATCCTTCTCACCAAACACAAAACCTGCACCTCGACCACGGCCTTGCTTTGGAGGCAGGTCTGCAGGAGCTTCCCACAAACCTGCTCCATTTTTATTTTTATTTTTATTTTTTTATTCCTGGCAAGGCATTTAACTGTGCAAAACTGCCTTGCCAGCGACAGATGTGAGTACAAAGAGAAGTGATCTGCTACAAAAGGATTAATGCATTTTGAAAGTTACTGTCTGGCAAACTGTCAAAGGCACTTCCATTGGTTTGTTTTATTCTGGCTGTCGCCAGGGCCGGTGGCACAGAGCCACGTCAGACACCCCGGCTCGGGCACTCAGCTGCCTCTGGCCACCACAGAGGTCACTCCAGAGTCCAGCCCGGCTCGTCTCCAGCGCTCCCAGCTCAGCTTGTGCCCTTGGGAGCGGGCGTTTGGCCACTGACCACTGTCACCTGCCTGGCCACTGACCACCGAGGGTGTGACAGCACTGTGACCACCGAGGGCTTGGCACCTGCTCAGACAGGGCTGGGTGACACCTGCCTGGCCACTGACCACCGACACCCCCTTTGGCCACTGACCACTGTCACCTGCCTGGCCACTGACCACCGACACCCCCTTTGGCCACTGACCACTGTCACCTGCCTGGCCACTGACCACCGACACCCCCTTTGGCCACTGAGCACTGTCACCTGCCTGGCCACTGACCACTGCACACCCGTTTGACCAGGGACCATCCAGCATCTGTCTGGCCCCAGTGGATTTGACAGTCGCTATCTGAGCACTGCCCTGGCACTGTTTGACCCCTGACCACTGTCACCTGCCTGACCACTGACCATTTCACTCCCGTTTGACCAGGGACTGTCTGACACCTGTCTGACCTCGAGGATTTGACAGCTGTGGTCTGAGCACAGCCCCTGGCACCGTCTGACCCCGGACCACTTGTCACTCGTTTGACCCCTGACCATCCCATTTAACCACTGACCACTGCACACCTGTTTGACCACTGACCACTTGTCCCCCATTTGACTTTCATTTCACCACCAACCACTTGTCACCTGCTTAACCACTGACCCTTTTTCATTTGACCACCAACCACTTGTCACCCGTCTGACCACTGACCATTTCACGCCCGTTTGACCACTGACCCTTTGACATTCATTTGACCACTGACCACCCCACACCCGTTTAACCACTGACCCCTTCTCCCCCATCTGACATTCATCTGACCACCAACCACTCCTCACCTGCCCGACCACCGACCCTTTGACACTCATCTCACCACCAACCACTTACCACCCGTCTGACCACTGCCCATTTCACACCCATCTGACCACTGACCACTCACCGCCATTTAACCACTGCCCATTTCACACCCGTTCAACCGGGACCGCCTGTCACCCGTGGGACCCCCGAGGATCTGACAGCGGTTGGACCCCCGGGCTTTGACAGCGCTGTCCGCAGAGCCCCCGCTCCGAGCCCCGGGCCCCGCTCCGAGCCCGGCCCCCGCTCCGACCCCGGGCCCCGCTCCGAGCCCCGGTCCCCGCTCCGACCCCGGCCCCCGCTCCGAGCCCCGGGCCCCGCTCCGGAGCAGCAAGGCCTCAAG